GTTATATAATTGCGAAGGACAAAGGACGCTCCAGGTTGATCATCTGTTTACATGATGAAGGAGGGACAAAGACAATTATTTAATTTAAATATCCTGCTAAACATCAGCTAGCGTTTAGCTGATGCTAACCCTCTGATGACCGTGGCGTTTTCCTGCTCTGGTTGATAGAGGGAGATTCTCAGCTCTCTGAGCTTTCTGGCTTAGTTGTTCAGCCTCTGTTTTATTAACAAGACACACAATAAATGCAGGATTAAGCCTGGTTTATTTTTTCTTTAAAAAAAAAAACAAAATAATGAAAAAATTGCAGTCATGTTCAGTTTCAGACGCACCCAGCTGGTTGCATCATTAATGATGTGATTCTCCTCCGACATTGAGGAGGATTAACCAAGTAGTTTAATCCAGCAGATCTTATTTTATTCAACAGGTTAATTTTCTACACTTAATTTGAACTATTCAGGTAAAAATGTAAAAAGAAAAAATGAGAGGGGGGGGGAAACTGGGTCACGGCCTTTCCTTCCTTTTTGAAACCCAGACTCTGGAGCGCTGCTGTTTTCAGCTGCAGAGGTTTTTCACACTCTGCTGCTTATTTACACATTTTCTTGTTAATTAGTTTCTTTCGTTATCACTGCATCAAATGACGCAGATGTTGCATTTAAGCTCAGGTACGAAGGAACTGCAGGTTACAGACGGGGAGACCTGATGAGATGCAGGAACCGAGGACCAAACCGTTTGTTGCAATTTCACTGTGGGAGGGGGAGGGGGGGGTCATTATAGCACTGTTTGCTGCTGAAAAATGAGGGAAAACATGAATATTATTTATTTTACTGCTGGATTTTCTTTTTATATTTGAAAAATATAGCGGTACAAATCTTTTCTTCTTCTTTCCCTAAGAATCGTCCTAAATTTCGACCCCCAATATGGCGCCCCTGGGGTGCGGTCTATAACAATTAGCATAGAAATTGGGAAAATTTAGTATTTTCATGACTATTTATCTTCATAATTCTTCTAAACAAATAGTTAGATATAATAAAAAACACAGTAATTGTGAACCGTTAGGAAAAAATGTTTGTTTTTCAATGGAAATTAAAAGTGACGGCGTCTGTGAGCACCTCTCTGATGATTTCCATCAACCAGACTTCTATGGTTGTAAGTTGCTCTATAAATTCCCTATATCTATAAAAAAAGATCAGTTGATTGTTGTGTATTGGTTTTCAGAGCAGTGCTGCATATATTTATCATGGCTTCCCCTTATAATGAGCATATTTTCCGATTTATACAGGAAAGTGGAGGACCTCCAGTTTCGAGTGGAAGAGGAATCCATCACCAAAGGAGACCTGGAGGTAATTAAAAGCTGGAAATAACCGTGTAACTGATAAATGCTCGGTTTAGCTTTTAAATAAGAGACAATCTATGTATAATGTGAGGATCACGTCTGTGGACCAGATAATTAAGATATATTTAACAAACATTTAGCAGGAGTTCAGCTGGGCTCAGATTAGTTCAATCTTGGATAGATAAATGGTCTAGATATAGAGCTGGTCCACAGCTTAAATAGTTTTTAAAACATTTAAGATACACCTGAACTCATAATTGAAAGAGTCATTCATTCAGGATAAAAACACTGTTGAATCCACTGCTATAATGATCGCCATCACTTAGATATTTTTGCACATGACATTGGAAAAAAGACAGACAGATAATAGATTAAATAAGTTGATTTGAAGGTGATCTCTCAGAAACATCCTCAGGATGTTTTCTTCTCTTAGACGATAAACTCCTCAAAACTTGAACTTGCTAGTCAGACCCAAGACAAACCATTTTACCTTGAATTCTCTTTTTTTTAGTTTGACAACAGAATAAATTAATCATTATATTCATTGAAATGTCTTTATTTTTTTAAATTGTTTACAGGATAAAGAGAAACAGACCAACATTGATGTTAATAACTTAGAGGAGATCCAGGACGTGGCAAGCAGGGATATATATTTAGATAGATAAGGCTGTTAGCCGCTATTACTGTGTGTTATGTTAAAAAAAAAAACAACAACACACTGTTATAATGAGGAACGAGCATGTAGCAGTATTATTTTTCATCTTATTAAAAAACGTTTCTCAAATCATAAATGAGATATATACATACACACACTCTCTAGACCTAAATTAATTAGAAATGTTGGGAATGTTGCGGTTTATTTTTGACAGGTATACCATACGAGCAATATACTGCAAAAAAGAATCTAGAAATAAGTTAAAAAAAATTCTTAAATTAAGTATATTTAATTTAACTAAGTAATTAAGTTGACTTGCCAATAGAAGTTATATATTTACTCTTAAAATAAGATAATTAGATAATATGCACTTGAAATGAGACAATGCAATTGCTTATGCATGTTTTAAATATAAACTGTCTCATTCTTTTGGCAAAGTAACTCACTTACCTCCTAAATTCAAGAAAAATGCACTTATTTTAAGAAAAGCTTTGCCAGTGTATAGATGCTGCCAGTTGTGTTTAACAGCCGTAGTTCACTAGTTGTTTATTTTATCATGATTGTTGGTCTCTGGCCTTGGTGCTGAAATTTGTAACTGTAGGTTATTGTGAGTCTATTTTCACACCAGCAACCCTGTCCTGGATGGCTCAGATATCAGACAAACGGCTCTGCTCTGATCTGCTTGATTATTTTTATTCATTTTTTTTAAAGAATCCATCCATCCAGTCAGTTAAAGTCATTTTGCTTATGAAGCCATCAGACTGGCACCCAGTCCTCCCTCCTTTGGGGTTGAAGCTCTCTGTGTCTCTCTGAGAGGAAGGAAATGTTGAAAACATCTGCAGGTTCTGACACCACTGGGTTTTCCAAAGGACATTAATCCAGAACTCTTGTGGTTCATCCAGATGTTTCTCAGCAGAAGTGATGCCAAATAATTTCTTTAGAGGATAGACTCTGCTTTTTACCCTCGCCAGCAAGATATATTTGTCTTTTTTCCATATTTTCTGTCACTGTCGTCAACCTGTCCCTTATTAACAGCAGCATGTAGAAACTGGAGCTTTTGGATTTTCTTTTTTTTTTTTCTCTTGGTAACTTTTTACAATCTGACCTTGGCGTTAAGATGCTTAGGAAATTCACTCCTGGAGTTTTTGGCTGCTGCCTAAAATAGTTTGCACTAGTGAATAATGGTTCTCACTGTAGAACTGAAGAGATGGCCTAATAACACTTTCCAGATCGATGCCATGTTTACAAACTGTACTGGAACTCTGGAAGTCGCTTCATTTCCAAATTTTTTAATATAGTTGCTTATTTTTTTATATATATTTTTTTGTTCATTTATTTTATTTCAAAGCTTACAACAATTAAAACTTTAAATTTATATGCTAATTTCAATCTTTTTTGCCGTTTGTAAAGTTGCTTTGAACGCTGTTCTTTGTTTACTTAATGGTATGTGTGTTTAACAGGACCTGACTGTCAAAAATAAAGAAATAATGCTGGGAGTTTTGGAGGCAACCTGAACCAAAGATTAGTGGATCTTAGATTCAGACCCTTAGATTTATCCCCTTTGCATAGGGCTAACCTTTATGCAGACATTGGTGGATAAAAAAACTAAACCTAAGGTCTGTGGATTTAATAAGTTCATAAATTTCCTGTTGGGACCCAGATCCAGTGTTCTGTCAGAGCAGCAAACCAATAGTTAACACACATGCGCAAGATTTGCGTTTATCCCTTTAGGTTTGTAAGAAAAATACATTTCTAAACTACCTCAATAGGCATGTATCTACGACAGAGCATTAGGGCCAGGCTAGAGATTTTTTTTTTCTATTTCGTGAATG